CTCGATAGCATGTGAGGAAACTGGTAAGTCGCCGCCGTTCGTGTTTACACTATCCATTGATTTTCTCGTTAACCACTCTACATTGTACACCGTTCAATAGAGAAGTTCACGGGCGTCAAAATGAGCTATGAATAAGTCTTACAAAGATATGCCTATATGGTAGTGTCCTACGGGAACCACTTTTTCCCGTATTTTCCTGTCCGGTTTCCCGCGGGAATCGGGAACGGGAACGATACTAAAAGTTGACGTTCCCGAAAATTTAACGTAAGGATTAGATTTAACAAAAAAGATTAATATAAACAAGATTTAACACAATGAAATTTTTCATATTTCTAAATAACAAAACCCAGTTATATGATTAGCCAGAAGTAGCCCCAATCATAATTTTATTTTTTATTTAATGTCATATCACAACTTGCGCAATGTGTGATGTCGCGAGAAGATAGTGGATGATAGGGATACTTTTCACACACGCGAAAAATGAAACAGGAATACGTATTTCGAAAGCATTACGGGAACGAAGAAAAGTCGTTCCCGCAGGACACCACTATATGGGTCGATAGTCGAAATACTTGGTCGACATAAGGATTTTTACCTATCCTAATGCTTCGAACACGCCACAATATATATAATTTTTCATTATGGCAGAAAAATGACTACAGAAGTGTTTGCTAAAATAGGTGAAAATCCTTATATCGGCCAAGTATCTCGACTAGCAGGCATATCTTTGAAAGACTTATTCATAGCTCATTTGGCTCACCCGTGGAATTCTCTATTGAACGGTATACAATGTAGAGTGGTTAACGAGAAAATCAATGGATAGTATAAACATGAACGGCGGTGATCTACCGGTTTCCTTACATGCTATCGAGTATTTCGGATCTTAGGCTACTCAGTTACATTTCTTCGGACTTTCTTATATATCATTGTGTAGTCCACAAAATTCTCTATCGAACGGTGTATAATAATTGATATTTGATGTAGGCGAAAGAGGTGGAACAATGCAAATACAGTGAGTAAAAATTGTTTAACCCGAGAAGAGTTTTTTTTTGCTAAAATGTTTCCAGGGTCGCTGAAAAGGTCTTTTTAAGGTCTAAAAATATGTTAGTGTTGATCGTGGACAAAAACTGCGTCACATGAGTTAACGTGATTTGAGTGTGGTTCGATTTTGGCTCTTATCGACCCACGTCGTTTAACTAAATATCGAAATCGAGAGAAATATGGAACAAGTCTGAGTCTATTCGCATGCAGTTGTGGAACTCATGAATGCTATTCGCATTTCAGAGCAATTTAAGCATACGAAAACATAGTGGGTGATAGGTTCGAACCATATAGAACAAAAGACAAATATGCATAGTATTTAGTCCCCCCAGCTCGATTCTATCTAATGCAAGCTCTTTTCCGTTTTATTATTTACGAGTAGATACGATTTATTTATTTGTTTCTAATAGTAAATAATGAAATGCTAGTTGCAGGCTTTTTGAAAACTTTTTATTACACTAGGCGACAAAACTTCGTTTTATCATTTGTTTTCCTCTGACTGTCCTATATATCATTTTTTTGTAGTCCATGAAATTCTGTATCGAATGATATACAACGTAGTGGACATGTAGAAGGAGCGCTGTAGAGGCATGTAGATGACGCTTATTATGCGGAAGACACTTAAAAGACACTTTTTTTCTGTAGATACTTCGTTGAAGTCGCTAATTTTTTTAGAGTGCACGTGTACTTTTTCGATTGGACAATCGTCTCTTTTTGTACCAATTAGAAGGTTTAGATGTATATCAATAGTGTTAGTTTATTTGTTTTGTGTTACTTTTCTTTTGAATATATATATATATAAATTTTGTTCTATGTACAGCCAATGAAATAACGAAAGAAAAGAAAATTTTAGTCTTGTATCATATACAGAGTCATAGTTTGTCTATAACTCGAGATTCAGATTGTTACAAATATAACATCTCATTATTCTTGTTGATGTTGATTGTATATAGTGTTTTTTAATTCTTGTCGCTCTTCCTCAATAATCTTTTTCATAATTGTTTTCCAATAATCTTCAGCTATACTACGTTCTCGTAACATTTTATCACGTTCTTGAAATCGATCTATGGTTGTCTTTCCTGAAGTTTATAAGAAAAGAACTACCATTGAAACAGACAAATAATATAAGATAAATTTGACTTACCTTGTTGTTGATCGGATATCTGTTGAGATGATCCAATAATATTTGGTATCAATGGTATAACACTCGTATATAAAGGAACTATTCACAACAAAACAAAAAAAAGCATACAAGACTGAAAGAAAATTTTGTGATGGTGTTCAATACAACATTGACTAACGCAAACAGTTTAACAGGGCACGAACGTTCAGCTTTGTTAGATTTTGATCTGAAAAACTTTTGTTCAATTGGATTACTATATTGAAAATGGCCGCTATCAAGAAAAGCTATCAAAAAAGTAGTCCAGAGACGTGCAAAGCGACATTAGTATTGTTTTCCAATAGTCAAATGAATTTAAGTTGCCAAAAGATTAATTTTCGCTGTTATTAGCTAATTTTCTCAAAGAAATTTTCTAACTCAGATTCCCACTATTCCACTAATAATAAAAAGTTTCTCTTCTAGACAGAGTTCGTCGGTATATCCAATTTTATGATCATCGAATGAAAATTCCAAAATATTAACTTTGGCTTTTTTGTTAAATGGCCATGTGCACCTCTAGGTATGCATCGAGACGGAGTATTCCATACCCGAAACTTTAGTCTCGAGTCTCGAGACTATTGTTTTGTTCTGTATAGAAGATTCTCTAGTGAATACGTAATCGACGTAATGTCGAAAGACATATTTTTTGGAGTAGATATTCTGTATGGTAACTTTTTTGATACTTTTAATCACTAGAAGTGAAAACTTCATGCAGCATATAAAGTTAGCTAACTAAGCGTTAATTAGTTTAATTTTCCCAGAATAATTTAGTTAAAATGAAATGAAAGAGCATATCACTATCGTCGTAATTATTCGGACTAGTATAGAATTGTTGAGTAAATAAAAAACACAGATTTTATATTGTATAGAAAATGCATTCGATTTTCTGAAATATCGATTTTGTAGAGAAGAGAATATCTTTAAGAAAGCTATAAAAGTTAGATCTTACGAAGTTATCTTCAGCGCATTCAGCTTTAGTCTAGTTCATGGCTATATGTAAAATGACACACACAGCAACTGGAGGAAAGTCTTCCTTCACCAATCTTATTAAAATCAGAAAAATTTATGGAACATAAAACAGGTTGCTCGATTTTCTCAGATAATGAGAAAATCTGTACAAGTAATAAGAGTAGCTACAAAAAAAACTTCAGCAATATCGAGACTCGAGAGTACTTGAGAGTAAAGTTTCGGGTATCGAAACTTTTCGAGACTCGAGACTTCTCGTCTCGGTGCATGCCTAGTTACCTCTCTACTTAAAATTTTGCTCATACTTCGTCGCTCTGAAGAGTACACCAAGCTCAGTATATTTTAAACTCAGTTTTAATATAGATTCTATCAGGGTTATGCATTTTTTCATTAACAACTCAACAACCTAAATATCTTGACAAAATATTTTAAAAGTGAAAACAAAGCACAATCAGATATCACAGATCAAATCACCTGTACTCTGGATGTGTTTTTCGTGGAGACAATGTACGCGAAAAACTGTTGGTATGAAAGATTAAGATGTATTCGTGTCTCTCATCCGTGTCTCAATCCTATGAATTTCTAGAATTGAGAGAACCCGACAAATTTAATAGGTACTATTGCTTGGATTCTGATAGAACTCGAATTCTGATTCTACCAGAATCTGCCAATTCGTAGAGACAATGTAAAAGTGGGAGAGGAGGAGAGAGGACATGAAAGTGAGAAGCGACTGTTTGTCAGAAGTCGAAGAAACAGAATTGTGGCACTTGATATCACTCTGCAAACGTAATCGGTAGCTTATCTTGAGGAGCGACACTATACTTTAGCATTATACCCCTCTCCCCGTCAGAAACCTACCTCTGAAGGTATAAGCTCAATCTGACCAAGCTTTTAGGAGATGCTGATCTTGGTAGAGATTAATAGATCCACATTTATGATATTTTACTTTTCAAGTTAATGGATACCATCAAAAGTTCTATTAGTCTAAGTCTATTAGCCGCTAGCCATATGTGTCAGCTTCAATTCAAGACCTTCCCGAGCTTTCTGTCATGTTTCGTTACCCAGAAATCTTGCATCTACGAAATGGCCCTTAAAAGAGATCTAATTCCAATAGAAATGTTAGGATTACCTGTTACAGGAAATGGATTGATTTTAAAACTGAATGTAGCACCTTTTTGTGGATAATTTTTAAATATTATTAATTTTCGAAACTGTTTCATTTGTTGAAAATAATTAAAATCAACCGAATATTCATTGTGATTACAGTTATAAGGGCTACCCGATTTAGAATCGAAACCGAGTGCAATATATTGACCCGTTTCAACAACACGTCGTTCATTGATGATAACAGTCCGTATACTATCGGTCTGAGTGAAATCATCAGATAAAATTGTAAACTCTTGTTTTAATTTAAATCGACCAAGATCATTTGGTGCATGTTCAATGATATAAACAAATATTTCATATGAAGATGTTGGTAGCGTATGAAAATTAATTGATATTTCGTTTATTGTACCATTGATTTTTATTTGATCATTACCGTTGAATACTACCATTCCGTTGAGATTGGAATCCAATCCATTGTTTGTTTCAAGTGTACCATAACTATGTACTACAATGAATAAAATATAAATTTTTAGAATTTTTTGTAGAAAATGATTTACCGTTTGTATTATTTGCTTTGTATATTTGATATTGTTTATACAATGGATTAACAAACAGATAGAGAAATACATTAAATGGTGGTGGTAAAAATGATTTTCGTCGATACTCAGTAACTAATTGATATCGATGATAGGCCCATGATTGACGTGTATCATGGGCAACTTTTTCAATAGTTACACTAGAAAAAAAAAATTAACAATATTAAACATCAACGTTTCCATTTAGCTATGTATATACTTGAATAGAGCAACTAAAACATTTAATAACAGGATACTTGAAATGCATACAAATATAATTGTTAATAGAAAAGCCACTGTACCATAAGCATCTGTAGAAACTATGTATACAAAATAAAATTAATATATCGTGATTGATTATTCATGTTTTAATTGTAGTATATCGATTGACCTTAATCTAAAGTAAATCTATGAGAGTCCAAGTTCTAAACTTTATCGAATTTTGTTTGAAATCGACGAAGTATCTGATTGCCAAGATTCTCTACGCTTAGAAAATGTTTAACTTGTTCCGACAGTTTTTCATGCTTTTCATACAAACTGTATTGTTTACACATTACGATATCATTTAATACGAGACACGAGTCTGAAAATTTATTTAATTTGGAAAGAAACGTTTAATCTATAAACCTTCAACGCTGAGTTTGTAACTAGATCCAGTTGTGTGCAAATGAAAATCTTCTGTGAAAATAAACTTCTTCGAAAATCCATTGAACACTCTCGATATTATTCAGTGTGAATGAAAGTCATTCAACTAGGCATATGTCGTGTAGAAGTTAATTCTATTAAGCGACTTGAAACTTTCAAGTAACTAAGTTATTGAATGAAAATAATAAATATCATCTTTTCTGATTGGTTTGTATCATTTTAGTGAGAAAGTATAACGAAACTCGTTTTTTTTCTTTTCTCTTAAGGGGGGATCCCCCCACCCGTTTTTTTCCAGCAGTTTGTGGAGGACACTTCGAAGTATACGTCTCAACAAAGCTTTCAGTTCCCGGACTTATAGTTTTTGATAAAAAAAATTTTTAATTTTTTTTCGGGTTTTTTGCCCTATTTTTAAAATTTC